CTTTCTTAGATTAACCTACCTCATAGGGTTGTTGTGAAGATAGAGGACAATCATTAAGGTTGCCAGCTGGCCTGGAAAAAATGTCCCCCAAAGAGGTTTAACATGCAGATATGTGCAGTTTTATCTTTTCATAGCATGGGGCTAGATAACATCACCTGATGATTGCTGCAGATCAAACTGATATTAAAGGAACAGCTAAACAGTCTTATTTAGAAGAAAGAGTTGGTTTTTATACTGTGCTTTTTTCTACCTTAAGGAGTCTCCTTATCTTTCTCTCCTCACAACAGTCACCTTGTGAGGTAGGTGGGGCTGAGATAGGGTTGCTAGCCCCCAAGTCCAGGTGGGGGTTCCCCTGCTTCTAGGGGCTCCAATTCACTGCCAGACAGCAGGGGGTAGCCCCGCCCCAAACCATGGCCACTCCTCTCCCTCCCCTCCTGCAGAGTTTTAAAGGGCTTAAGCTGATTGGTGGGGAGCATGTGGCCTGCTGATCAGCTGGAGGGCCCTTTAAATCTTTCAGCAAGGAGGGAGAGGGCCTGTCACCGGCCACAGCTTTGCTCAGAAAAAGACCCTTTAAAGAGTCTTTTTGTGAGTGGGATGGGGGCTGCAATACACAGGGCTGATTTCCCAGCGGCAATTCACCGCTTGAGATTCTGGTCCACAATGTCACTCTGCTCGCTGTGAGCCCTGTAGCAAGTAAGGTGGCGGTGCGTGGGCCTGAATCCCAAGCGGTGAATTGCCACTGGGAAACCAGTCCCATGTGCCATGGCCCCCACCCACAAAAAGACCCTTTAAAGGATCAAGGATCTTTTTGCGAGTGGAGCTGCGGCTGGTGGCAGCCCCTCTTCCTCACTGCTGAAATATTTAAAGGGCTCTCCAGCTGATTGGTGGGCCACGTGCTCCCTGCCGATTAGCTGAAGACCAGCTGAAGAGCTGAAGGGAGGGGTGGCCACGGTTTGGGAGTATCCCTGCCCACCCCCTGAATGCCCCCCAATCCCCCCCTGCCAGAGTGATGAGGGGACCTGGCAACCCTAGGCTGAGAGAGTTTCAAAAGAACTGTAACTGGCCCAAAGTCACCCAACAGGCTTAATGTGGAGGAGTGGGGAATCAAACCCATTTTTCCAGATTAGAGCTCTCCGCTCTTAACCACTACACTATGCTGGCTCTCCAAAAAAGTTAGCAAAGATTGAAAAGTTAGTAACCCTAGAACTATGTATCTTCCCCTGAATTCCTTGGAGGATGGACAGGATAATAATATACTAAGCAGCTAGAAAATAAGCTCTCTATTTGTTGCAGAAGACAGGAGATGGAGAACAGGGTCATAGCAGGAGAAGCAAATCTGCATCTTCTTTTGCTACAATTTGGTTAACCAAGCAGTAATCAGTTGATGAAGAACTTTTTTGTAGGAGACTCAATAATGGAGAAAATTCCACCTCCTAATTTCAGCTTGTTATACAGCTGCGTAGCCGTAGCTCAAGGCCTCCTGCATTTTGCTCAGATGAGAGAACTTGAGGATATATTAGCTGATTACTGCGATGTTATAATGTGGTAGCATTACAAAACAAATTTCACTCTTTCTTAACATATTACACTTAACATATTACATATTACACTGAAGAGACAGGATACTGGCTATTTTTATTTAGTACAGGGGATACTTGGCTGTTTCAGGATATTGCTGATTTTGTGACTAGTATTTTTGTTTCTACCCAACATGCTGAACATTAGTGAGGCTCTTAATTTACCAAAACAAAGATGTAGCAGTGGGTGGAGTTTATAGGCTGCATATACAGCAAGTTTCCAGAAGTGGTTCTACTACATGCCTCTTCCTATAGCAAACCCTTATGTCCACAGGAAAAGTAAGGGAGGAGCCTTTAGGAATGGGATGGAATGTGCCTCAAGGGATGTAACAACACTGGGGAACCTGCAGAAATTGTTTTGCCTTCCTCTTATGCAAGTTGTGTGAATGTGACAAGAGCTTGCACAAGAGTGGAATGGAAGTGGTTCTTGACAGTTCTTCTTTTCTTCTCCCTCACTCCCATACTGCATCCACGCAATTTCCAAAGGGTCTCTTCAAGAGTGGCTTTTCCAAGGATACAGGATGATGCAATGGAAAATGGCAAAGATCCCTTCCATAATCTCGACCTATTTGCAGTGTGTAGGATCCAGCCCCACATTAGCAGCTACTCATTGTATTTTTACTTAAAAAAAAAACAACACTTCTGATCATTTTTCATTTTGTAACTAAAGCCAAAAGAATAAAACACAAGTTCTGAGGGTAAAAAAAAAAAATCACCATAGAGACCATTTATTACCTGAAAAAAATACATATACTTTATAATTAAGAACTAAAAAGGGCACATGGACAAAAATAAACTGTAGTATATACATACTTTAAAAAGGATAAATAGCACATATATATTGTAATACTGCAATACATGCCCTTGAGTATTTCAGGCCCAGAAATTTCACTGTGTACATTAAAAGGATAAATAAGTGCTAAGATAAGTCATTTTTCGTGTAAACAATGTAATGGGCTTATAACAAGCCACCATTCTTAGGGCCAATGTAATAAAAGTACATATTGTTTTTCACATCACCTCATACTATTTAAACTCAACTAAGTATTCACAAATACAATCACAAGATAGTATAAAAGTAGACAATTCGCTTCATATTATTCACACAACAGATACAGGCTGTAGATTCCAAGGACTTTTTGGAGTCTTCACAATGCCCTTGAGGATTTATTGGTACGCAGAACACAGTCCCTCCCTGTGTGTGGTCACAGTGCCTACCAGGAGATCACCACAGGCCAACAACAGAGCCCAGTTAGTAACATAAGAAGAGCCTGCTGGATCAGACCAGTGGTCCTTCTAGTCCAGCATTCTCACACAGCGGCCAACCAGTTGCCCTGGAGGCAAAGAGGCTGATGCCCTCCCCTGCTACTGCCTCCACCTTTTCAAGTCACGTGCACAAGGATATGTAGTGTGCCAGGCCTTACTGGAATGGATGATCTTTGTCTTTCTCCCATATTCATCTAGGTTTTTCCTCAACTTAACTGAACAGAGGATGGTGGGATAGATGGCAGGCACATCCAGGTGCTACAGGCTGTTCTGGTGTAATGCTTGTATGTCTACACCAAGATGGGGCCGTGAGGAAGAAGAGGTTCTGTTATTCCCTATGTTGACCTTCTGTGTGCAGGCACAATTCTCATACAGGGACGGATTTTGCGCGTGATATTTTTTTCCTCTTCAGTTAGTCCTAAAGGGGTAGGCAATATGGTGCCCACAGGATCTAGGCAGACAGCCAATGCTTTTCCCCTGGAAAAATATCCCTCCCCTCTTCTGCTTTGGAGCAGCCAAACACTAGTGTGTAGGCGCATGGCAGCAGCATGCAGCTGCACAACTTTGAAGGGTCAGATAGAGTCTCCAGACCCAAAGAAGCTTGAGCTACTCCCCCCCACCCCCGGTATATAGTCTCAGTTCAGACATCACACAGAACCATGGTTTTAAATAACTATAGTTAGTGTGACTGAATGCAGACCACTCCAGTAACTATGGTTTGTTAGGGTCTGTCAAAGAAGGATCTCCTTGGTTTAGTAACCACAGTTCTTAACTATTGTTTTGAGTGATGTCTTGTTAAATGTTTTGGCTTGTTCTTCAGTGACGACCCTTCAGGCTATAGAGAAGGAAATGAAACCAGCGCTTGTCAAGGCAAACCGATACTTGAGTGATTGTCCTGGTTTCACAAACTAACCTTAGTAAGCCATGGCTTTACGTCCAAATTAAGCCATTATTAGCTGCAGTCCAGAACTATTTGATAATCACTTACTTTCATTTCTGATTTTGGCTTCAAAATCTGATTGTCGGTACTGTCTGCCTAAGAATGATTAGAAGTCATCATGATTGTTGTGACCTGAAAAGCAGCTTTTAAAGCATTTCAAAGCCTGAATCTTTCTGTTACTTACTTACTGTCTTCCCTAACTATATTACCCAAACTGATACATGATCATGGAAGGGGGGCCTGAAGTTTTCCTTTAAAATAAGTTTTTAAATAAAACATATATGTGTGTTGCAATCCAGCAGTTACCTGCCTGAAGGTTCTACTGACATACCTCTAAGCACTTACATAAACCCATGATCAAGACTGCAAGCTCAATGTACTTTTGACAAGCAGGATAATTTGTAGATACACCTATGAATTGTTCTTAAAGTAATTACTGAAACTTTCAGTGATCCTATGCTAAATTCCTGCTCTGTAAGCTCTGTTGAAAAGAAGTCTTCGGTGGTTTTCCACCTGGATATCACAAGCTGAGTATTCTGGAACGGACACTTATAGAATTGCTGACATTCATGAATTTGCATTTTCAAGAAGTCAAGAAGTTCCAAAGTCTAAATATAGCATGAAGTTGCTTCCATGAAGAATGCTATTAATTTCGTTCATTCTGTGTTGGCTGACAAGTAGACTATTCTCCCCCCCCAAAAAGTGAATTATTACTACTTCCTGACAACAATGATCTTCTGCTCTTCTTTTCTGGCAAACAGCTAATGAGAAGAGATTTTGGCTTTGAATAAGAGGGTTGCTAGGCCACTTCTTCTTTTATGATATTGCCACATCCACATTACTCCCCAGTATTACTTCCAAGTCATTGTTAAACATGAGGGCCACATTCTTCAGTGATTTCAGGCAGTCATTCCAGGTCCCAAGCACTCTCAGTTCTTCAGGATGCTCTGCTATCCCCAGGAAAGATTTTCACATCTAGACTACAGACTATTTTCAAACAATTATGGACGGTGAAACCTGCAGTTGGGTAAAACATGTAGATTTATCTGTATTTGTCTCTTCATCCATTGTTGCTACAGTTGAATCAGAACATGCTGCATTAGCATTTTCTAAAGAAAGGTTCTCCCCCCGCCCCCCCTTCCCGGACTTGCTATTTTAATAGGCCAAAGTCCCATTTCACTGATCAGACCAAGACCACATCCAAACACCTTCCATACCCAGTTCTACAGTCCTATCTCTGATCATGAAGTTTCTCAGGACTCTGACCCCCCCCTTCATCCAGTTGGGTTATTGGATTTAACATTATTATTATTATTAATCAGAATTTGATGCTGAATAGTTTTCTGTAAGTAGCTTTATAGTCAGCTTGTAACATGGAAAGCTGCATTTAGCAAAAATAAAAATATTTCAGATTGGATTTTAGAATTATTCACCCACTGCTCTCCAATCTCTAAAAATCTCAGAAATGGTGAGCGGCACAGAAGCAAATCACCAATTTCACTAGGGCAGTGCAAGCAGCATTAGTGTCTTTTTGCAGACAATAAGTAAAATAGTGATGGTTTTAAAATATGACTTCTTTTAACAAATGTCAATGGGAATAGTAATTGACTAATGAATCTTGAATGGTCTTCTTCATAAATAGCCTGAAGACATATTTCAAGCATGTTTAAGCCTGAATGGCTGAGAAAATGTAGTTGCTCCTTTGTTCTCCACGTTACTGTTGGATGTGGAATAGTGGTCTTAATGAATACAGGGATTAAAAAATGAAATGTGAGTGGTTGCTTCATTTTTTAAAAAATGGTTTAAAACTTGTAATTTAGTTCGATCCCCTAAAAAAATATCTTGATGGGAACGAGAGATGCCAGCCCCAGAATTACAGCTCATCTCCAGACTACAGACATTAGTTCCTCTCGAGAAAAGGGATGCTTTCGAGTGTGGGATCTATGCCGTTGTGCCCCACTGAGGTCCCTGCCCCTCCCCAGGCACCCCCCCCAAATCTCCAGTAGCTTCCCAACCTGGAGCTGGCAACTGTACCCCCAGGGCTATTTTTGGGCAGGAACGCACAGGAACGGAGTTCCGGCTGGCTCCCAAGTTGGCCACGCCCAGCAGGAACTCATTAGCATAATAGGCCACACCCAACAGCAGAAACTCATTAGGATTGGCTACATTAGGGGTGTGTGGCCTAACATGCAAAGGAGTTCCTGCTACAAAAAAGCCCTGGGTTTTGACAACAAACAAGGTAAACAGAATAAGAAGCAAAAGATGGGTGTGGCTGGATGACCACACTTCTGGTAATGTGGGGGTGTGTGGCCTAATGTGCTAATGAGCTGTGCTGTCAGGGGTGTGGCCTGTTACGCTAATGAGTTTCTGCTGTTGTGTGTGGCCTGTTATGCTAATGAGTTCCTGCTGGGCTTTTTCTACAAAAAGAGCCCTGCGTACCCCCTACTGCCCACTGGTGACCTGGAGGGACCTGGCAACCTTAATGGGAACATTATGTTTAGATTATGCTTGAAGTGATTTAACAATGCAATGCAAGAACTATGTAATGCATATACAGATGGTTATTTTAATCTAAGGCCGTATGACATGCTTGCACCACCTGTGCCACCCCCCCCTGCCCTAGAACAGCCCACCAGCCAATCATGAATTCTCCAAATCAGAGCAAATGATGCTGAGCTAGATGGACCAATGTGCTGATATGGCATAAGGAAGTTTTATATGGTTGTTGAGTTCTCCTGATCTTGTATAGTCTGATCTTCATCCGATAGTAAACCAGTTATCAGTGATTAGCTTAGTCCTATTTGCTTAAATAACTCACTTGCTTAAACAAGATCTAATTCTAGAAGTCCCTAGGCATGCAAGAAGAATGATGTTGTCTACAAATCTAAAGCTTTATTTCCGTACCTTGTAAACTGTCGGCTCTCTTCATGTACTTCCATTTCCGTGCTTTTAAATTCATTTAATTCTTTCCGTATTGCTGCCTAATTTAAACCAAACAACATGAGATCAGACAGTTCTTAAACGGAAGTAATAATAGTATTGCTTTTCCCCACAAAGAAGATGCTACGAACAGGATATATTTTATGAGCAGTGTTCTAATTTTTATGGATTTTACTGTAAGACCTCTTATATTTTCTGAGATATTCTTTTCCCAGTTCATTCGCATGTATGAATATGTGTGTATGTACGCTTATTCAATATGTAAGTGCCCCTGGTGCTGCTTTTGTTCCAACCATCTCATAATACAAGAGGATACATAATTTCATCTAGAAAAGGTGCAGTTAGGTTACCACAGAGGTGACCTCACAATCTCCACTGACTTATATCCTCAAAGTGGGCACATGGCCCAACACTTCCCACCTTCTACTCTGATAACACACAGGACATGGCACACAACAAGACCCCTCTCCCCAATATTTACTTAAATAAATGTAGAAAGTAGCCTTCTGTAAATTGCAGTAACAATAACCCTTGTAATCTTTTTCTTTCAGAGTTCATTTCCTTTCCCATATTCTAAGAGAATTATTTTCCCATGTCCTTTTCCAAACAGCATTATAAATTACTGTAATAAAGACCAAAACCATCGGAAATGGCACTAGTAGGAAAAGCCGGGGAGGGCAGTTGCAGAAAAATAGTTTTTCACTCAAAGCAGCCACCTGTTTAATGTACATAGGCAGAGGAGATTATTGCAGCCTACAGGCCAGGAGGGGTGGATGACTAATGCTTAGCAATTGGGCAAGCTGCAGGATTCCTGCCTCTACTTCCAGAAGACAAACTTTTAGGCATACAGAACAAATTATTTTCATCTAGAAATTAGCTCTAATATTAGTTTTATGTAAGAATAGACAAAATGTTTAGACATTACAGGCCTACAGATATTAAAGCACAGCAGTAATTTAGAGTACTGTACATGGATAATGAACACTGAAATTGGACAAAGACAGAAGTCAGTTTGTGCTCTCTTCATTTATTCTACAGTAATTTCTTTAAAAGGCTGTCTGTCTACACACACTCAAAGGTATTAGCACAAATACTCTTAGTTTAGAATAATCACTGCTTTTAGCTGCTCCTGGTTTTTTTTTTTAAAAATCACTAATATCTCTCAATAATCCATTATAAAAAGCGTCTCATTAGAAGCACACATCTTTCAGTGCAGGGCAGAATGACAGCACAACACAAATATTATGTCAATGTTGCTACAATGACATCTCAGACCATAGCCTTCTGTTGTAGCAGATGATTTTTTCCCTTAGTCCTTGGGGTGGTGATCTCTAAGCATGGGGTTGCACTAGTGGGAAGAGTAAACAGTTATGGCCTGCTACAGCCATCATCCTGTTCTACTGGAACAACATGTTTGCAGCCAAAAGTACTAGACTTGGATCTCCTCCTCTTTTCCCTAGTAATAGTTAGTAATGCAAAACATGAAACATTATTCAACACCCCAGGACTTAACAGGGATACTGGTGTCTTATCTCACTACATATGCTAAATTAATTCAGTCCTTACATCTGTATTCTCATCAAGAAGGGCTCTAGATCCTCTTTATTTTAGTGTATTTCTTATCTGGAATAGTAGATTAGAATAGTGATTGTAATGTAATGCAATGAATATTAGAATAGTATAGTGGAATGCATTTCTCTGGTCTGTTAATAGAGGAGACATAACACTGCACTACAAATCACCCCACCTCAAAGAAAAACATGCTATTAGTTACCTCCATGCTTGAGAGCAGACAGATGGAGCATAACAACAACATCTTAGTTAATTACTGTTAGCACTTCCACAATTAAGAATGCCACATTTACACATCTATCTCCAATTTTGACATATTTATTTGCTTCACTTTCCCCCCCTGGAATTAAATCCAAACAATGGTGACCTTGTAAACCTAGCTTCTTATTCCTGTTTGCATCTGTTAAAACATTTTCATTATGTTGTATGCTAATTTGCTATTCAACCTCTGCCTTATATGTATGGACTGGTAACTTCCATTTCATTGCATCTGAGGAAGTGTGTGTGCACACGAAAGTGCATACCTTGAATAAAACTTTGTTGGTCTTAAAGGTGCCACTGGACTCAAACTTTGTTCTAAGAAGCACTGTTATACTGTCACTGTTTAAAATGTTTCCTTATATCCTGCAAGTAGTCTTACAATGAAGTGGAGGGAGCCAGAATTGTATAGTGGTTTGAGTGCTGAACTAAGATCCGACAGACCTAGGTTGAATCTCAGTTCTGCCATGGAAGCCAGCTGTGTGCCCTTGGCCCAGTCACTCTTTCAGCCTAAACTACCTTGCAGGTTTGTTGTTGTAAAGAAAAAATGGAGGAGAGGAGAACAACATGGTAAGCCATTTTGGATCCCTGCTGGGGAGAAAAGTAGGGAACAAATCTCCCTTATAAATAAAAGCCGAATGGTGGTGGCACTTCTCTAGAACATTTCACACGCTCCGGAATTGGTTGGTGTCCTGGTGTGTCACTCAGAATCTGTCCCTATCCACTGGCTGCATTGCTTGAGTCTCGCCTCCAACATTCTAAACAGTTTGCTGTTCCTCCCCCCCCCCATAACCAGTCAGAACACAGAGGTTATTTGCATATGCAGCCTCATTGGCCTTTGCCTCAGAACACAGAGGTCGTTTGCATATGCGACTTGATTGGTTTTTGCCTCTAACATTCTAAACAGTTTGCTGTTCTGAGGTAAAATGTGTCCAATTTCCAGGTGAGGGCTGGAGATCACTCAAAATTACAACTGCTTTCCAGATGGCAGAGATCAGTTCCCCTGGAGAAAATGGTGGGCTCTGTATCCTTATATGCTGCTGAGATGGTCCCCGTATGACAGCCAATGTGACGTAGCAGTCAGGGCTTCAGAGCACGGGAGAGGCTGCAGGTGTGTGGGGGGTGGAAAGCTGAAGAGTGAGGGGGAAATAAAGGTAGGTTGATGATTGGCTGGGAAGGAGATAGGGTTGCCAACTCCAGGTGGGAAATTCCTAGAGATGTGAGGGATGGAGCCTGGAGAGGGTGAGGTTTCAGGAGGCGTGGGACCTCGGACAGGTACAAAGCCAAACCAACTATTCTCTTCTGTGGAACCATCATTGCCAATCTCCAGGTGAGGGCTGGAGATCACTCAAAATTACAACTGTTCTTTAGGTAGCAGAGATCAGTTTCTCTGTAGAAAATGGTGGACTCTGTCATTATACACTGCTGAAGTCACCACAGCAAATTCACACTGGGTGTCCAAGGCCAGGGCACCCACCCAGAGCCTCTTTCTAGAGACCGTTGTATTTATTTCTACAACGGACCTTTTTCCTAGTATCTATATAAATAAATTCCATGCAGTTGCTTTACACAAATGCTGTGGGGCAAAGAAGAGAAAGAGATTGGATTTATACCCCGCACCCTTCACTACCCGAAGACGTCTCAGAGCGGCTTACAATCTCCTTTCCTTCCCCCCCCTCTACAACACACACTCAAGTGAGGTAGGTGGGGCTGAGAGAGCTCTCCTGAGACCTGCCCTTGAGAGAACAAGAAGAACTACTGCTTTTGGAGGCACTACTTGGCAGCCATGATGTCTACTTTTGGTGTTAGCTGTAGATAGTTCAGAACCAGAACAACCTAGCTGAAATCTCCCAGTTCTCCACACAGGCAAAAAACAAAAAAAACAAGTGGACGAGAAAGAGTCCCATCTTCCTGGGTCTTCAAAAACAGTGGTTCTCAAGCAGTAGTACACGTACTATTGGTGGGGGACACAGTGTTCATACCAGTTACTAAGAATTCACTCTCCCTCAATCCACATGTCCACTTGCAAGAGTTACATGCTGTGTCATGCCAACCCTACCTGCCACGGATTATCCATCTGTGACCTTCTGGCATGCTAGCAGTGATTTTGGACACTTGGTGTTTCTCCTAATCCCCTATTTTCCCCTGCTCCTAGCAAGTCTTTGATATGCTTCTTCCTACCTATCAGCCAGGGATTATCCACTGTATGCCCTTAAAGCTTACCATAATGATAAATACAATAACAGAATGCCTGTAGTCATATAAATGTCCTTCTTGGAAAAAGTAGGCTTTTTGTTTCTATCCCAGTGGGACCCAGGTTCTTTGACAGAGTGAGTGGTGGGACATAAGTTATAAAAGGTTGAGAACCACTGTTCTAAAGTATCAAAGTTCAGAGAGGGCAGGCAAGTGGAATAGTAATAATTATGGTATGGCATTGTATGTAGTATAGCCAGGCGATCCTAAGATTGTGTCTAGCAGCCACAAGTTCTAGCTCTTTAGGGCTATGCACCACTAGGTGGCGAGCTAGACTTGTTTTTAAGGCAAGAGACATTTCAGAGGTGGTTTGCCATTGCCTGCCATCACGACCCTGGTATTCCTTGCCATCACAACCAAGGTATTGCCGTCACAACCCTGGTATCCCTTGGAGGTTGCCCTTCCAAATACTCGCCAAGGCTGACCCTGCTTAGCTTTCAGGATCTGACGAGATCAGGCTACCCTGGGCCATCCAGGTTCAAGGACAGGCAAGAGGAAAAGCAGAGTGATACTGAAGGGTCTGTGAGATCTTCCTGGATGGCTATAACTTGCTTCTTCCAAACAAAGCCCTATCTCTGGGCAGGAACAGGAGATCACAAACAGCGGCCAGAGACTGTGAACAGGGTATCATACTAGCACCAGGGCTATTTTTGGGCAGGAACGCACAGGAACGGAGTTCCAGCTGGCTCCCGAGTTGGCCACGCCCAGCAGGAACCCATTAGCATAATAGGCCACACCCAACAGCAGAAACTCATTAGGATTGGCTACATTAGGGGTGTGTGGCCTAACATGCAAAGGAGTTCCTGCTACAAAAAAGCCCTGGGTTTTGACAACAAACAAGGTAAACAGAATAAGAAGCAAAAGGTGGGTGTGGCTGGATGACCACACTTCTGGTAATGTGGGGGTGTGTGGCCTAATATGCTAATGAGCTGCTCTGTCAGGGGTGTGGCCTAATATGCTAATGTGTTTCTGCTTTCTGCTGTTGGGTGTGGCCTATTATGCTAATAAGTTCCTGCTGGGCTTTTTCTACAAAAAAGGCCCTGACTAGCATTCATACCTTTCTTGTACATCATTGCCTAATCTTTGTCCAACAGACAGATGCCTGTGGCACTCCCATTTGAATGAAATGCCATGAGAGAAAGACTGCTAAGGAAACAGTCAATGTTCAAAAGCCAGATTAAGTGTACATTTCCTTGCCAATGAATATGCTCTATCATGGCTGAGAGGGACAACAGTTGCATGCACTGGCAGGAGTTTCTGCTACAAATAACAGTGAACCTTAGAGATATAAAGTTGCTCTTAAAACAAGTATTTGTCTCTTGCCTTGTCTGCAGGTGTTAACCTTGCCCAGGGCTTGTCGGCACGACGGTCATAATCTGGAGAATCCATCACTCCCACGTACTCATTAAAACGTAAGATTCTCCTAGCTTGAAGTTCAGCCACTGTTGGTCTCAGACTCAGCTATAAAAAGGGTAAGTGTAAATGTTATAATCCAAAGGAAAACGGAGGGCATGTAGTTACCTTGAATAGAATTTTAAAGAAAGAATGTCACTTGTAAATGTCTAAAAAAGAAATCAATTTGGGAGTACTAACCAAGAACAGAATATACCATAACCTGATTTCTCACTAGATTATAAAATCTGACCAGGCCTAAAGATCTAAAATAACATGTATGTGCTGAATTCTTTACTGCGAAGACTTAGGCTTGGTTCACATGTAGCACCTATTCGGCATCATATGAGCAGGACACAAGCGTATATCGTCCCCTCCCCTGCGTCCACTCTGATTCTTTCCCCTTTGCAGCAATTGCTAGCTAACTATGGTTTTTATATGGCACCTATAGGGTTTTATATGGATACCTATAGGGTTGAAACTTAACTGAGCTGTCAAGGTAGTTGTCAATCTACTGCAGGCCAGGGCTTTGCCAAGGAGGTTCTGCAACCTGCTGGGAACTGTGGAAAACACTCAGGGCAGAAGAAGAGCTGCCACCACTCTGCCTCTTTCCATCGCCTCCCACTATTATTTTAAACATAACACATGATGTAACATGCTCACTCTCCAGGACCCCCCCCCATTACTTAATTGGCTGTTGACAGCAGGGAAGCAGACAGTGTAGTGACTTCACATCTTGCTGAACATACCATAGCATTGTGGCGGAAAGAACAGCAGTGTATTCTCCATTTCCCCCCCCCCCCAAATATCATTTTACGTGCTGCCCAGTTGACTGAATGGCCTATTTTAGATACGACAGCCAAAACCATGGCTTCAAATCATATTTTCTAAGTTAATGAAAAAAAGCCCTTACAGAAATAAAAACAAATGTTAGTCTCTATGCAGGAACAAACACCATTTGTTTCCCTGGTTCCCAGAGGGCTGATTTCAGTTCAAGGAAGAGGGAGAAGGAACAAGACAGGAGAGATCAGCGGATACAAAACTGACATCAAAACTTCCAACTGTTAAACCCATCTTATAATGGAAGAGAACTGTTGAAATGTCTTTCTTTCCACAGTTTTCCTCTCCACCATTACTATCCCACTGGAAAGGGCTCTCTTGATTCCATGTAAATAGCATACTGAATTCCCTGCAAGTTACTCTCTCTGAGCTTGGCCAATTCACTTTAAACTGGACATTTTTGGTTATTTCTCATGTCTGCTATTTAGCTATTGTGCAAGTTTTCCCTCCGTCCCCTTTCCTCCAATACAGGGGTAGCCAGCCTTTTTGCTGGTAGAGCTATTCCAGAGGGGGTACAGAGCCGAAGACCTATTTAACAGGGAGGTGGTGGGGAGTATCGGCACTGGTGAATTTTCCTTCCCAGTGTGCTTCTCCTCCCACTGTCGGGGAGCTGCCACAGTGGGCAACCATATTGCTTTGTCCTCCCGCAAAGCCCCACACTTCTGGCAATGAAAGCCTCACTGTGGAGCTTGGCACAATGGAGCTGTGCAGCAGCACACTCTGCTTCTCCCTGGGAAGAAGGAAGGAAGGCGGTAAAAAGCGGGCATGCACACACACTGGGGGATGCCCTGCTCCAGCTCCAAATTCCTAGTTGTGGAACTGGCTGGAACTGTGGAGCTTGTGGTCCTGCTTTGTGCTGGCCCACAGCACAGCCGGGCACCTCCCCTGATGTGGCTTCGAGGCTGGGACTTGTGTGGCCCCATGCCCCATGCCATCACTCTCTTTCCCATGCTGCCTCAGGAAGACACTGCAAATGGGTAAAAAGGCAGAGGGCAGAGCCTATGTGGAGGCTGCCCAGTACTCATCTGTAGCCTAGCTTTGTGGAGCCTCAGGGCCCAGCTGAGAAGCAGAAGACGTGAGGCTGCTCTTCTGGAGCACATGAGAGGGGGACTCCCACCATGAGCGATTATTAGCTGACAACAAGCTACCAGCCACCTGCTATCGACCGGTTGGCGACCAATCACGAGTGGAGTGCACATACCCTCTCTGTTCAGCAGCCTGCCTGGTGGGGGTGCCAAATGTCTTCTTCTGACTGTTCTGCTATGGCAGAATCCCCTTGGAGATACAGTTGGCAGTAGAAATTTAGGATTTTATTGGATTTTACATTGTAACCCGCTCTGACCCTGCTTGTGGGGTAGGGCGGGATGCTTCTCATAAATAAATAAATAAATAAATAAAAACACACCACATACAACTTTTCTGTAGATCACTGAGCCTTTTGGTTAGTTGTCTATAAAACTAGGGCCTTTTCTGACATTGCTGAAATTTGGTAGGGAAGATTCCTTGTGCAAGAGGTACAGTACCTAAGAATGCCATCTCAATTGGATAGTAAATAAAGGAATTATTGCAAGATGTGTTTTTAACTGAAACTGGTAGAAGCAAAAACAAATACAAGAACGACACAAACACACATAATAATGATAAAAAAACTGAAATTAAAATGGAAAATCACATCCTGATGTGTGGGTATAAAGAGACCCGAAGTGGCAGCAGCACCACGTTTCTCATTGTTTTGCCCTCGGGACTCTTCTCAATTTCCATTCTAGTTCTTAATCACTACCATTATTTTGTACAAGACAGCACATCTGAATACTTCAAAAATATCAGTCAACTTCAGAGAAGCTAGCAGCTTGGAGAGCGCAGCACCCTTGACGCTGATACGAACTCTTTGGTTCAGGGAACTACGGCATGCAAATAGCAGCGTGCAGATACACCAGGATGCACTTCCTTCTGGAGCAGTTCCTTTTCCAAAATCCCAGCAAATTTCAACACTCCCCCAAATTTCAGGTGTGTCAATGGAGGTTCTATGTGGCATGCCATTTTCTAGGTGAAAAATAATGTGGTCAGACACACATGAGGGAAAGTGGAAGTAGGGTAAATTATATCTTTGTTTAAGAAAGGAAAACATAAGTTTCCGAGGATGGATAGCTGTGGCTGACATAAGCCACCATGTATTTATAGGAAAGTTACATAAAATATATCTCCCACTAACTATGGCACTGCTTCTACAAAGCATATGAACAAGATCCTCAGGGTGATGTCATATGACGATGTGTTTACGGTTCCACTGCATAGGTCCTGTGGCACCTATTCCAATTAATAACTATCATGCATCTAGCAAACTGGATTGTTTAGTATTGCCAGATATATGTGGTAAACAGGGAAGAACACAAGCTGAACTCCTTGATGCTCGACTGCAATGCAGTTAAGTTTTAAAAAGCCAGCTTGCAGTGATAGAAAGCAGGTGCACGAGTCCAGTTTCTATCTGTACTGTGCTCACACGCAAGACATGTGGCATACCTTTCTGCTGAGACTGCGCTTTAGTTCTCTTTTAGCTTCTTGTTCCTCTTCTTCATTCTTCTCTGTTTTTAGATGGAGGGAAAAGACAGCACAAGTTGTAAAAGGTGCGTTAATTATATGACAGATGTATGTGGTCAATATAGCAGAAATACAAATAATCAATGGTTGTAATTCTAGCTCACTCCAGTTTATGCATTATAAATTTTTCCCCTCCATTCTTCCTTTTAATTCCTGCAGTATTCCTTAGTCATCCTAACATACAAGGAACAGAGATAGGATGCTCACTGTCATTTCCAAGCCTCAAAACCACAAGACAAATATCTGCATTTACAATCTAACCTTTGACTTTGGGTGAACAGTAGCCTTCCGTTTCTCCCTTTATTCAGTCTTACCTTTCCTGACTCCCATGCCACCCCGGGCCTAGAATGCTTCTAGCTGAAAGCTCTGGTGTGTTTTTTGACAGTATCTGTGCTTGCTTTCACACCACTGGGCAAGAAAGCTATACACTCAGAAGACACTATCCTCTCTTAGCTCAGTTAATCAGGCAATTGAGGATAGGACCATGTATGGCTGGCCTGGAAATTGTGCTCATTATCATAAAGTGACTGGAACAACGCAGCTAGGAGGAGCAATAGACTGAGCCAAGCAGGTTCAAGTCAGTCACAATATCAGCTGAATCTGCTGTTGGCTGGGACAAACTGGGTAGGAACTGGAGGGGGAAGAGGCTCTCTGTTACGAGAGACTGGGAACCAAAGAGAGGTGAGGCTGCACTGTATCACCTATGCAACAGCCTCCAGTCCGGCTGGTTCATGACTGCATTAGATACTGCTACACAGGTACAACAACAACTCTTTCCTCCTTCAGTCACTTTGGCAGCAGAAGGAGCAGGGAAGGCTCTTGCCAGGCATCTGAGGAGGGGGAGAAGGGTTGGACACAATAGCACAGTTCACACGTAATGACAAATCATGGATTGTCACTTTAGGAGTATGAGGCTCGGTAGCTCCTTGGGCTTGCTCGCTGCCGGTCAATGTTCCCTCTAAGCTGAGTTAGGGTGAGCTAGCTCACAGTTTTTTAGCCTCCAGCTCACAGATTTTTGTCATAGCTCAGGAAGAATGACTCCAAGGCAAACTGACTTATGCAGTAGCCAAATTGCCTGCTCACAACTTTAATGCCAGTAGCTCACAAAGTAGAATTTTTGGCTCACAAGACTCCACAGCTTAGAGGGAACATTGCTGCCGGTCTGTGGCTACTTCTGACTACAAATTATGATTTTTTCTTTACAAATCAGAATTTTAACTCATGTTTGTAGGGGAGAGGGGAAAAATAATCATTCATGTTTCAGATGAAACCACAAAATCTGGTTTCCAGCAAAAGTGGAAGTCTTTTATTATTGAGGCACATATGAAGGGTGGAGAAAGTAGACATGCAAGTCAGAGGATCATCCAGACCTATTCCTAACAAGCCATGATTTGTCATTATATATTAAACTATGTCAATATCACTGGGCTGTCTGCTCACTGGAAGCCACTGCAACAGGTTTGGCAGAACTACTCGACCCTCCTTCTTGAATGCTAGAAATGTAAAATAAACCTCCTTCTTCCTTTGGTTGCTACCAGCCAGATACAAAAGGTGGTACATTTCAGACAGGTGTTTAAAGTTTTCTGACTCTTAAACTGTGTCCTAATCTATTTGTGTGTGTAAAATCATACCAACAAAAGCGCTCCTAAGGAGATTTGTAACATAAAAACTACAACTCATAAAACAAAATCATAAAACAAAAAACAGAAGCTAGCAATCCCAAAACATGAGCAACAAAGTTCATATACACTTTGTAAAACAATCTCAAACCCAATCTAGTCTACCTCATGGAAGGCTGGTTAACAGTTTAGGATATCTCACAATTGATGCAGTTATTTCATGTTTGTAAAAGTATCTTCAGAATGGTAATCTAACACTAATAATTCCCAGTTGCTTCCAACTCTCAATATTCATGATGGGAACTGTTTTGATTAACCACAGTAGGCCAGATGTACCTTGTAACTCTGACATTATTGGCTGGATAAAATGTTTACATCTCACCCTGGTTCTGGATGGAGGCAGGTGAAGCAATAAAGTAAAATATAAAATAAAATGTTTGGTTTTAGACTAGGGCACTTGTTGTCATTGTTGAGGAACCAGCATCAGAGGATACTTCCTACAATCAACATAGTCTACTGACAATGTGAAAGAGAATTCATCTGGGTTGAGATGTGCTTTTACTAAAGTGGGCTTGCACTTTCTTCACCACAACCAATAGCTGCAATTCGATTCTATGAAAAAAGCCCACAGGAAAGAAGCCCACAGAAAAAACCTCATGAACATAAATGCTCACAGGAAAACTGCCCACACGGAAATAAGCCCACATGGAAAAATACCATGTAAAGCGCCTTAGATATTTATAATTGTGGATAACCATTCATCTACATTTATGAGAATGAACAAGTATTACCTATAATTTATATCATTATTTCAGGATTAAAACATGTCATATTCACATGCAACAATTTGTGTTGTGATTTTATCAAGTATAATTAAATAATCATTTTGCTTCATTACTATACAAAAGTGGCATGTATGAAGAGGGCTTTAATGCTCTTGCGTGTAAAGGCTTGGAAGGGGAAATATAGGAAATAAAAGTGCCACTTTTGTTATCAACAAACTTTATTAAGAAGGAAAAACAATAACAAAAGAAATTAAACTCTATATAGAAATATTTTTAAATAAAATTAAATACTTTAAATTTATTAATTTCCATTTGTCAACCTTTGTCATTAACATTTTATTGGTAGAATTAAAACAATAAACCAAATATAACAATGAAAATGTACATAAAGGTCATAAGAACAGTTAAACATTCAAACCAATACACTAATTACAAATAAAAATAAAAATAAAAATGTAAGCTTTAAAGAGTGATACATTCTTCAATAAACATTGGCGGGGCCACAATCATCCGAGGGAAAACCATAGTTTTCCCTCGGGTATTGTGGCCCCGCCCCCAATGTCCCCGACGTGCTTGCGTCACTTCTGTGTGACGTGCTTTGGGGGTGGGGTTCCCCCCGGGGGCCTGATCTGGTGGCGGCGGGGAACGGGCCTCCCAGGCGGGGGTTTCTCCACCCCCCGGAGGGACTTGACATCCCTAGGCATTTTACATGGTATTTTTCCGTGTGGGCTTTCCCCCCCATGTGGGCTTTCTTCCTGTGAACTCTTTTCCGGTCACCCTGAAATACACAAAGATGTTGCAAACAGGCTGGGTAATGATGTAGCAGGTGCAGACTGAGTTGCAAGTTACACGTGCAGCCACTGCCCTGAGAGAACACTTCAACCCAGATATCATGAACTCACTCACCCTCCATGGCAGTTTGGCCCTATGACTTGTAACTTTTTCATATAGTAGCTTTGGAAAAAATAGTGATGGCATTTTATACAAAGGTACATTTCAATTAATTAAAATTGACAGGATTTTGTATCTGTCCATTTGTCTCATAAAGACTATGCAGTGTTGTAGTCTAATATAATCAAGGAGCGTAAAGCTAAATTTTCCATCATGTCCCTGTGGGGATTAGTTATGTTTAGATTACTTTGAATGCTTGCTAGAGAAATGAAAAAGGAAAGACAAACAGTGCTCTAGGATACTGGAATGTTGTCGAAAGTCTGCTTGTTTTACATTTGAAGATAATGGTTAATATTTCACAGCTGGTACAATAAGCTTCACCAAGGTTTCTAAAAAGCCAGTTTTGGCAAAAGGGTAAACTCCACAGACACTAAGTCTCCATAGCTGTCATCTTCTAAATGCACAATGACTGCTAACTAAACTCCCTGTAAAGGAATACAGACATTTAACCACCTTATTATAATGCAATCCTGTAGAGTCCCTGCATGAGAAGCATGCTGTGGTCACAAAACATTATTCAAGCCACTGTGCAGGATACTATTATAAACTGTCCACTTTCATCTGCTGTCCTTCAGAATTCTAGATGAGTCTCCAAAGTAGCCAAAATTCCTTGGCCTAAACTTCAAGGTGTTGTTGGTATGATCCTGCAGTTTCCAAGTGCCTCCAGTGAAACAAAACAAAAACAGAAACACTTCCTGTATGTTTCTTACAATACCTTTGCATGAAAGAACCAAGCACCCAAGAGACAATGAAAAGCTGACTGCATTCAAGAGAGTGTTGATTTAGACACAGCAAAGTAACAGGAAATACTTTGGCCTATTGCACCTTTGCTTTATTAACAGTGAACATTAAACAATATAATCAGTGTATTAAGAAACTACTCAAGTGTGATTATTCTCATAATGTAAGCTTATTACTTGCCTTATTAAAAAAAACCATATTTTTCTCAGTTACAAATTAAAATGCTTACGCTTCAGGATATTTCTTTGTTCTAATTCTTCAGAAGTAGGCCTCTGGCTAAGCCTCCTACAAAAAACAGACAAACAAAAGCATTCAGAGCATAAAATCGCAAGGTTTCATCTAGTCAAGAGGGGCCTGATTTTCAAACTGTCCAGGGCCACACCCTGGCCCAGACTAGCCCCAGCCCATTCCTTGCTGAGACACAGCACCTGGGCCCTGAACGCTTATTGGGAGGAGCAGAACAAGGAAACAGTGGCAGCCCTGGGGACAAACTAGAGGAGGCAGGAGGCGCCATCTGTGGAGAATGGGGCCAGGAACACTCCAGCCAGGCCGCTGGTACAGCCCGCCGGAAATCATGCTGAGAGGCCTTGCTAGGGCCCACCACAGCCACAAATGGCAGCAGGGCCAGGTGAGCAGGAGAATGATCTGGCCAGTCTGGCAGCAGTTCACAGAGGAGAGGGAGCTCGCCAGAGATGGCCACAAGTGAGCCAAAGGTGGAAGTGGGGGAGGGTCACAACTCAGTGGCCCATGGCAGGCCAGTAAGGGAGCTGTAAGGGGATGGCTGGCCCCAGAGGAGGTGGGGTCTGGCCCCTCCACCTTTAATCTCCTTGGGAAAGGACAGAAACTAGGCAGGACTGGGCCCAGGACCAGAGGGGTGGTTCAGGGGTCATTTAAAAAGGAACTCCTCTGAATAGGCCAGGGAGGAAGGAGGACTGAGCCACAGAGGCACCTGAGAGAGCTAGTCCTGGGAAGGATGAGAACCCAGGCGGCAGAACCCCCTGTCTTTCCCACTCTGAGGCCTGTGGGGGAATACTCCTGACCCAAACTGGGATGATGGAGGGTAGGAAGGCCACACCACGGTGGGAGGAGGCTCAAACAAACAAACTTTCAAATGCCCATTTTCAGTTAACAGTTGTGCATACTAACTTTGGTGCTGAACTGAGGAAAACTGTATTACCTTTTCACAACTTCATATATGCAACTATAAATCTGCTTTTGTATACATCAATAACATGCCTGTTTATAACCCAGTAAAACTGTGCAAACTTTAAAAAGAAAATAAAAAGAACAAATATCAGCATCTGACTTAACTGAAATAGAGTGAGTAATCCATTCATTTACAGTGGAAAACTCACTATTTAATGGGCTCAGTAAATGTAGTGAAGGGGACCTATTTAGGAAGTGAATAATTTAAAAAGCCAGATTTCTGTTGTAAGAACAGACAAACCATATACTCAAGGTAAAATGTTCTTTAATTATCAAGCAACTCCATAAGTAACATCAAAGTTGAGCAAGTCAACGGAAGTTTTGATTCAACCAAAGAAATTATTCAGTAGTATGTCTGATGTTCACACTTTTCTAGCGAACCAGTGCTTGTCATGTAACAGAATAAAATCTGAAGACCCTACAGTTAAAATGAAGTGAGCTTCAGCTCACAAACTCTTATACCCTAGAAAATGTTGTTGGTCTCTAAGGCGCTACTTGAATTTTGTGCAGTTAAAATTATTCATCTTCAAAATCTGAAAAAGGACACGATTGCTCTAGGAAAGGAGTGAGGGAGCGGGACTAGACAGTGATCATGATCGAGTGGTCTAATTGTTAGAATCAAAATAATCAGTGAGTCCCTTCTATTTTATTAAAAGCAGAAAGTCAGCCAGATCCAACTCTAACATTGTAGGTGGTTTTCCTTTTGTGCTGTTAGGATGCACCTTCAGCTCCAAAAACTGGGAAACAACGCCTTATGCCAGACCCCATATGCCTACCTTTCATTCTTTACCCACTTCCCAAACTTGCTCAGGTTACACCTAGATACCTCACTAGCTTTGTGCCGATCTGCTGTCTGATTTCCTGCCTCTCCTCTTCAGAATTTCTCGGCAAGATGTTTTTGTCTTCCAGTTCTTTTTTTGATGGTCGGTTGCCAAGTTTGATTGCAAGAGTATCCCTACGACGGATTTTACTTGCTAACGAGCCTGGAGGCAGGAATGGGGAAGAAGGGGACAAGGGAGAGGAAGAAGGCTTATGAAAGAGGGAGATTTTATTCCTTTATGTTCAGGTTTCACATTCCAGTTCCCAGCGAGGGCCTTTAGATGCAACACATGAACCCCTTTCTACCTTTTTGTCCCTTTCAACAGAGGAATTTTAATTAATATCAGAAGCAGAATAGTTTCAACCCATTTCATGTCAACAAAAGAGTTTGAATAACTTAGAAAAGAACAACCTGGTAGCTGGTTACAGGAAGAAAGATCACAAGATTTCCTGATGCCTAATGAAACAATCTGGGATATAACCCCTGCTTTAGTATGTGATATACATCCAAATCTTTTTCTTTTGTGAGTAGGGAACTTTAGATACACAAACTAATCCAGCTGGGCATGTGGAGATGAAGAGGCAGGGCTACGGAGACAGGAGCAGATTTGATTCTGGAGTGATGTATGGTGATTTGATTCCCAGTTGTTCATCCTCCAACCCAATGATGTTTCTCAAAACTCCTTTTTAACTTCTCCCGTATAAATAAATGCTTATCATTAAACACCTCTAGAAAAAAACAAAGTGCTTATTTGGAGAGCCTTGTGAGAGCAAACCCTGCTTGCTACTCTTGGCATTGTGTGGTCACGTCCTCCCCAACAAGACTCCCAGTGCTGGAGAGTAAGACCTTAATGAGATGCATTGCAGTCCATGGAAACTTATAATACCCAACCCCACAGTTAATACAAACACCAGCCATAATAATAATAATCATGATGATGATGAGACATATTCTGGCTTGGATCCTAACCCTTTCTCCCGTTTCCGCAGTTCCTCTGGTGTTAAGCACTCTGTGCTCAATGCAAGATGCCGAACACAAAGCAGCTAATGAGGGAGGTGTGTACTCTGCAACAGAGCACCACCTCCACAACAGAGGGCACATCGTGGAAATTGAAGGAAGCAAGGAAGCGCTAGGATCTAAGCCTTTGTTAGGTAAGAAAATAAGAGGTTAGATGTATACAGTTGTAGTTATATTCCCACTCTACCACTATTATCTATACTTGATATGTTGGCGTAACTTTGCTAACAGTGCTGTTCTGCTGCAGCAGTAATGGCAGTGGTGTACATAAACTATTGCAACTTGTACTATACATCACCCTTTCAACACCAGTGAACCCAGTAACCTAGCATTATCTAGCTATAAACGTACATTTCTTCCGGTAGCAATCTGATTTTCTGTATCAGAAATACATTTGGGAAGATTCAATTACAAAGCATTCTGGAATGGAATTTCTGCACATTACACGAAGGCAAAACACACAAAACCCCTCCACACCCTTCAGTTATGCCAGTGCTACAGGTAGTATTAGACCAGTTGCTCCATTGCTTCTATACCAGCCCTAGGGCACAGAGGCCAGGAAAGGATACATCTCCTTGTTTTGCAATACAGACACACAAGTAATGCTCAGTGTAAGGATAATAACCTTCCTTACTTTTGTAACATGGGCAGTCTTTCAGGCCTGCTTCTTAAGATACATTTCAGGCTTGGCTTCTAATACCAGATTATAACATAAATGCATCCTACATAAGCCACAAGGGATACACCTGTGTATATTTCATAGCCTTTTCCTTTCAAAATACTTACAAGCAGTAACCAGAAAAAGACTCAGGTTCCTTGCAGAGAATATTTTCAAAGGGAAAAAAAAATCATGAAATGTCCATCTATGCACAAAAGACCTGTTTTTTACTTGGGCATCAGATTTCCAAGTATAAAAAAGTAGTATAACAAGCTGCCCTCAGACTGTCAGGGACCAGAGTACAGACCCCTACTCATAAGGCAAAGGGGCTGAAGACTCCGAAGAGGAGGCAGCTAGGCAGCTAACACCACCACAGAAGGAGGCAGCTGAAACACCTCCAAGAACCTCCTTTGATATGCAGGGGGAGCCCCATGACTCTGAGCCAGCCTGCTCACCCTGGGATATAGCCCTTCCAATTCAGACTTGGATCCTGAACCCTCCACCCCGAACCTGCCGCTGAACCAGAAGTCTCTCATCCACCTACCTCTCAAGCGTCTTAAATCCCTGAATCACCTCAGCCCCATCACAGTACTCACCGCCATAACCAGGTATGGTACTTTTAACTACTGGCAATCTGTTCCTGGAGGGGAGGGGCCTGTTATCTCCACCTTCCTGAAAGGGCTCATTTCACCTTCGGCCTTTGCTGGAACCACATCCATATGCTACACTGTTGGCTCCAGCTGCCATAACTTGATTCCTGCCTTGATTCTTGGACCTCAGCCTCAAGCAGGACACAGCCTTGCGTCTTCCGGCATGAAGAATGAACAAGCTCCAAGGTCTCTGCCTAGTTTATGTTTCATCTGATGGAAATACAGAGACAACCTCATGCTAAGACTTTATAGTGTCAAATGTAAGACTGAATTCTACATCCTGCACTTGAAAGAGAGGTAGCAAAACCAAAGTGACAAGTGTACCCAATATCTTCTCTGTGTTCCAGGGCTGGTATAATACTTGAGCCATGGTGAAAATGAACAACTAAGTCCATTGTGTCTGAACAATACAATTGTCCTCTGAACTTGAATCTAAATATTTCCTGGCCATGAATCATTAAAGGCTTTGAACACGACTGCAACCTTGAGATTAATGGCAAGAACTACACTGAGACTACATCCACCTCTGAACTAATCTGGGCACCATCTCTTCCACTGGGCACCTGTGTGGCAGCTCTGTTCCTTAAACCCAACTTCACTAGCTTTTTCTTGTTGTAAGCAGGCAAGGACAGCCACTAGCCATTGTTAGGCTTTCTCTGTGGTTGTCCCCACGTGATGTAATACCCTTCTGAAGCATATTACAAAGGCATTTACTTTGCTGAATTTCTGGAGCCAATGTCAAACAGAACTATTTTGTAAAGCTGTTCCAGCTCATGGCTGAATTGATTGTGTGACTGTGTGATGGACAGGAGGCTGTCTTGCCCCTGAAGGGAAAAACAGCCACTCAACTGTTTCATCCTTGAGCCTATGGGAGTGCTGCTCCAGCATCCAATCAGCCAGTTTGGTGTAGTGGTTAGGAGCACGGACTCTAATCTGGGAGAACCAAGTTTGATTCTCCACTCCTCCAAATGCACCTGCTGGTGTGACCTTGGGTTAGTTACAAGTTTTTTCAGAGCTGTTTTCTCACAAACAGTTCTCAAAGAGCTCTCTCAGCCCCACCTACCTCATAGGGTGTCTGTTTTGAGGAAGGGAAGGAAAAGGAGATTGTAAACCGCTTTGAGACTCTGAGTGAAGGGTGGGGTATAAATCTAATCTCTTCTTCTCTCTTTTTTCAGAGGGGGTTGGAATGTTAGAGGGAAGCACAGAGACAGTCTTAGTTAAGTCTTTGCCTCAGGGTGAGTACAGTGATTGTCTGGGTGTGCCTCAGCAAGAGAGCAGTTTGATGGGTACCTCTGCCTGGTAGTGTGACAGCATTGCTGCGTGATTTAACTCTACCTCTGGAAGAGCATAGAGTACCTCATTGTTAGGTCTGTCTCTGGTGATCTTGTACCCTTTAGTCAGACCCTGCATCATTTAGTCTGACTCTTGGGAAAGTGCAGGCTGATCTGGGTGGAATCCTGTGTATGTGAAAGGATCCAACCTTGTGGCTAGTCAAAAGGTCTGTTTCTCCCTGCAAGCCTTAAATAGAAATCACACCACACTCTAAAGCCATAACTACCTTAAAAGTTTATGCCTCAGCTAGGTTTCTCCTCTGACTGTCTGGAGACCTGTGTGGCTGATCTGTTCTTTAACATCAACCTATCAATCAATCAATCTTCTATGTTATTTACATACAACTCCAACTTCTGTGGTCCCTTTGCTCTTCTTGTTCACCACAAAACTTAGCTCATGACAGCAAACCCAAAGCCTTTACACTTGCTACCCTAAGAATGTTATGTGACCACGAGGATGGTTTACAGTTCAAAATAAATGTGATCCCCTGAAAATCATAAGGAGCTGTGAGGTTGGTAGAGAGGGCCTGTCACTGATTCTGATTTGTGGTTGGACTTGATTCTAATTAATACCTAAATATATTTTAAAGGTATCTATTTAAGACACCAAGGGTTCATTGGAAAAGGGCTGGCTAAAAGTGACAGAAGAAGAAGAGTTGGTTTTATACCCTGCTCTTTACTACCTGAAGGCGTCTCAGTGTGGCTTACAATCACCTTCCTTTCCTCTCCCCACAACAAACACCCTGTGAGGTAAGCGGGGGTGAGAGATCTCTGAGAGAGCCGTGACTGGCCCAAGGTCACCCAGCTGGCTTCATGTGGAGGAGTGGGGAATCAAACCCAGTTCTCCAGATTACAGTCCACCACTCTTATTCCTATCAATTAGTGGCATGGCAACAACAAGCCAAAGAGATGCAGAAGCACTGTTAGTCTTGAGATACACAGCGTCCTTTATAGAAAATATCAGCTGTTTCAAAAGCATGTGGAATGCTCTACCAACCAAACTAACTAGGCTGTAATTTTCCTTCATATAAATCTTCTAAATAGAGTACAGCAGTGACTCCAGGGTACATTCTAAATTAATCAGAAGGAAGTATGGATACTTAAAAAAAAAGTCTTACAAGGTTATGTGGTTTAACTGTCCTATTTAAAGATCCACCAGATTGCCAAATACTGGCTGGAGGGTCCCAAAACAAAGTTTGTTTTTTCCTTTGACAAAGAACATAAGAACATAAGAGATGCCAATGTTGGATCAGGCCAAAGGCCCATCCAGTCCAACACTCTGTATCACACAGTGGCCAGAAATACTAGTGCCATCAGGAGGTCCACCAGTGGGGCCAGGACATTAGAAGCCCTCCCACTGTTGACCCCCCCCCAAGCACCAAGAAGACAGAGCATCACTTGCCCCAGAGCCCCTATCTATACCTTGTGGCTAATAGCCACTGATGGACCTCTGCTCCATATGCTTATCTAATTCCCTTTTGAAGCCGTCCATGCTTGTAGCACCCACCACTTCCTGTGGCAGTGAATTCCATGTGTTAATCACTCTTTGGGTGAAGAAGTACTTCCTTTTATCCGTTCTAACCCGACCGCTCTGCAGTTTCATGGAGTGCCCACGAGTTCTTGTATTGTGAGAAAGGGAGAAAAGTACCTCTTTCTTTACCTGCTCTTTCCCATGCATAATCTTATAAACCTCGATCATGTCACCCCTCAGTCGTCGTTTCGCCAAGCTAAAGAGCCCTAAGCGCCTTAACCTTTCCTCATAGGGAAAGTGTTCCAACCCTTTTATCACTTTCATGCTCAGCACTACAAGTTGTCCTTTTCCATTGCAAAAGTGGCAAATGGGCAACTTACTTGTACTACCTGCATCATCGTCGTCTTCTTCATCGTCATCATCTGTGTAGAGTATCGGCCCATCTGAATCTGAGTCACTGGTGTGATTCTCTTTGCTGCTTTCCCTCTCTGGAGTGTTCAAGGCTTCAGAAGAGTCATCTGTCAACTCAGGACTTTCTGGGCTAGGGCTCACTTTTTCGTGGTCTTCATTGGTAACAGAACTGCAGACCCATTTTTTTAAAAAAACAAACAAACAAACTGTAGCATCAGTGCAAACGCTACTGAAAAACGGTAATGAGGCTGCTTACACATGATAACCAAGTATGCGGATGAGAGGCACTTTTTCAGGCTGTCTTATCCTTACAAAAACTATCAGTACATAAAATAATACATGGAAAATAAACACTAGAAATCAAGTCATTTGTACAGAAAAAAAACAAAAAGAAAAAAGGCGATCAAATATAAGACATTCCTTATGCTATATTCAGTCACGGATGAGAAGAGTTTTGATGAATGCTTACTTACTTGAGAAAGAAATTATGGTTATTCCCCAAGTAGTAAACTGGTTGAGGACTACCACAACACTTCTTCAGCATATGTTCTCCCAAATACTAATAACAGCACTAATGGCAGGGTTCTTTATGTTTTACAATTCCATGTGCAAAAGTTCTCCTCAGAGCGTTACAGCATGACCCCAAAGGCGTCAAGCAAGGTGGTGGGGACCTTAGGGGGAAGTGACCATGTCCTGCTAGAATTCCTTTTGCTGTGGGGGCGAATGACACTCATAGCCACACATGTATGTTAGATTTCAGTAGGGAAGAATTTAAGAAACTCAGGGGCATGATGAGAATCAGTCCATGGGCAAGACTGCTGGAAGGGAACAAGTGAAGGGTGGGCTCACCCGAAACAAGAGCTCTTGCAAGCTCAAGCCATCGCTATTCCAACAAGAAAGAAATGTGGTAGGGGATCCAAGAAGCCAATGTCGATGAACAGAGAACTGCATGATGTGCTAAGGGAGAAAAAGGAAATGTTCAAGAAATGGAGGCGACATACCTCTAAACAAGAGTATCTGCCGGTTTCTATGCACTGTAGGTTAGCCATCACAGAGGCCAAAGCTCACAGTGAGCTAAAGCTGGCCAGGGGGGCTCACTACATCAAGAAAATCTTCTTTAGATATGTGAGGAGCAAACATAAGATAAAAGAGTCGATGGGCCCATTGTTGGGTAAAAATGTAGAAACCTTGACAGAGGACAGAGAGAAAGCAGAAAGGCTTAATGCCTATTTTGCCTCAGTTTCCCCCCTGAAAAAGAGAACAGGCTCATCTAGAGATGGTAGTAGGCAAGGCACAGCATCTGGGCTACTAGTTGACATGGACAGAGAGGTAGTTGAGAAGCACCTAGCTGCACTGAATGAGTACAAATCCCCTGGGCCAGATGGTATGCACCCAACAGTGCTCAAAGAACTTTCTAGAGAGCTTGCAGAGGCTTTGTCCTTCATCTTCCAGACATCTTGGAGGGTGGGAGATGTGCCACGAGACTGAAGGAGGGCAGATGTTAATCCAATTTTCAAAAAAGGGAGGAGGGATGACCCAGGAAAATACAGGCCAGTCAGCCTGACCTCTGTCCCAGGGAACATACTGGAGCAGATTTTAAAGAGACCGATCTGCGAGCATCTCAAGGACAACTTGGTGATCCGGGGAAGTCAGCCTGGGTTTGTCCCCAACAGGTCCTGCCAGACCAACCTCATTTCCTTTTTTGGTCTAGTGACAAGCTTACTGGATCGAGGGAATGCTGTTGATGTTGTTTACCTGGATTTCAGTAAAGCTTTTGACAGGGTTCCCCATGATGTTCTGATGGGTAAACTAGAAAACTGTGGACCGGACTCTAGGATAGTTAGGTGGATAGGGAACTGGTAGGAGAACTGTACTCAAAGAGTAGTTGTCAATGGCATTTCATCTGAATGGCGGGAGATGTCCAGTGGGGTGCCACAGGGCTTGGTTCTGGGCCTGGTACTTTTCAATATTTTTATAAGTGATCTGGATGAGGGTGTAGAGGGGCTACTCATTAGATTTCCAGATGACACCAAATTGAGAAGAGCAGTGAACGCACCAGAAGATAGAGATAGAATTCAACGAGATCTGAACATGCTGGAAAAGTGGGCGGATGTGAACAAGATGCGATTTAACAGGCATAAGTGGCAAGTTCTACATCTGGGTAACAAAAATGAGGAACATGCATACTGGATGGGGGATACACTTCTGAGTAGCAGTGCTTGGGGTACAGGTGGACCATAAGT